AAGTGTCAACAATTATTTTCAAATTTTAAAACATTTCATTTCGGCGTTGCCGTTGATGGCCTTTTGGGTGACGCTGCTTAAAAGGTTTCCCAGGTGTGAAATTGTTTGATAGTTGGGGGTTGTTGAATTTAGGCTCAAGCAGAAGAGCAGATTGAAGTAGTATGGGTGGGGAGGGGGGCGTGGGGAGCGAGGAGTGCTGGTGTGTTTGCTGAAGCAAAAATCCTTTACCAGCCTTCTGCTACCAGCAAGTTTGTTACCTAAGTCTTTTGATTTCATCAATTTATATAGCCAACAACTAGTCAAGAAAGAAATTGGAATAATGTCGACTTATTTATTTTATTTATTTTTTTTTGCTAATTGGCGCTCGTGCGGGCATGATAAAGTTGCACTTGCATCGGAGCCGGCTGCTGAATCAAATCGAACAACAGCAGCAACAACGACAACATCAACAACAAAAACCACAGCAGTATTGATTCTTTTCAATGAAAACATCAACAATGAGCGTAAGTCGTTGCCGTCGCCGTTGGCGCTGAAAATTTATTAGCAGTGACGGCCAATGGCGGCCAATTAACGCAGGATGCTTGAAGCGCCAACGCCACCAGCGACGTTCGCTTGAAAGATGCCGCCAGGCAAGCGTCGGTGCCTCAGCTCGGCGTGCAATGAAGTCGTTCGTCGTAGTCGTAAAGTCTGATTTATTTCGAATTGTATGGCAAACAGACGGGAGCAGCTCCCCCAGCGCCAATGGACTAAAAGCTAATGCGCAACCACGGGCGGTCTGCTCGCCTCTGCTCTGTGTGCGCGCACTGGCTGACCCAATTTGGCGCCTGCTGCGGCGCTTTCATCAGTCGCCTCGTACATCATAAACAAATTCATAAAAGTCGCCGTCGTCGTAGCCGTTGCCAGCTCCATTCTTGAGTCGACTCGAAGCTGCATTCATAAAATTTATGGCGTTGAAAGGCGCATCGAATGTGATTTTGTATTATTATTATTATTATTATTATTTTTGTTTTATATATATACCTCCTTACTAGTTGAGTTTGTTGTTGCTGCTGAGGTCAGCGTGCAATTATTGCAAGTAAAAGAGTGCGCGGTCAGCTGGACTCATTAAAATGTAATTTGAGCGCGCTGTTTCGCATTTCATTTGGACAAGTGAGCGTCAGTTTTCATTTCATTTCACTTCATTCAGCAACCCCCAAAAATAAAAACATTCTATGTCCTGTGTACTCATGAACATTGCCCGTCTCGCTCTAACTGTTGCCGTTGCCTGCACAGTATTTGATTGATTTATAGACGCATGCCATCTCATTCACTTCGTCCCTTTTGCCTTGCGCTCTTGAGTTACTTTGTGCAATGTCCTTCGCCTCTCTTCCCCCTCTCTCACCCTCTCTCACTCTCTCTCTCTCTCCCACTCTCTCTCGGTCGACTCATTTGTGGCACATTATTATTTAAATGATAAATTGTGTTGCCCGGGAACTTTGGCTTTTTGGGGTCCCCGCTCAGTCCCTTTGCTTTTATTGCCCGCCTTTGTAGGTGTTTCCGTGTTGCCTTTTCTTTTTTTTTTTTTGTTGTTTTCTTTTGGTCGCCTTCACCGTTGACCTCCCCCCTCTTTTCGTCCATCCAGCCATCCATCCATCCATCCACAACATTTTGAAGAACCCTTGACGTTTCGCTGTTTCTTCTTTGCTGCCTTTTCACGTGGGCGTTTTGCTGTGCATTTCAAATTTTCCGTTGATTTTGGGGTCGCTTTGAGTGTTCTTTCTTGGACTAGACCTATAAGCCCAGCACCGACCGTGCCCGCTAACAATATTAATCGCCTCATTTGTCCAACAGCATTGCGGCGCTTGGCTTTAATTTGGGCATTAATGTTATTTAGTAATAAAATCGATTAGGCTTCCGTATTTGAATGCTACGTTTATATAGCGCTGATTTTTACTCCACTTTAGTTACTTGGGCGTCAGAAGAAAGTGAGCCATCAATGGGTAAAGTGCAGACCCACTTACTTGCTTAGTAGACGACCAATTTACTTACATTTATATTTTAATTAAATTGTCATGTAAATTATATTGCATTTGATAGGCATTTGATAGGCAATTGAGGGATTTTGTCTGCTTTTCATTTGTTTTGTTATTTGATTTGAGGAACTCTACATTTTATGAATGATTTTACAAATAACACAAAAAATTATCTGATTTCGTATCTCACTTTTTTTTTTTTAAATTAACAACTATTTTATAGTTAGAATGTAAATGTATTATTAATATTTATTATTTTATTATTGCCACGATATTCGACTTAATGGAGCATTGAAATCTATTTATACGAATTTAGTCCAAATCAATTATTAGTTGCGGCTTACGATAACATTATTTGTGACTTTACTTTCAAAGTTGTTCTCAAATCTTTGATACAATTCTCAAATTTGACTGATCATCAAATCTTGTTTGAAATCGATAATATATCTGTCTTGAATTAAAACTTTTGTTTAGGTTAACCAGTTGTATAGTTAACTATGTTCTTGTCATATGAATTAATTTAATGGACAATTGAATTGACTTGCAAATGCGTTTATATATAAATATATATCAAATATTTGCACTGCACGTGTGACGACATTAAATCGATTTATGTGTAATTATTTGGGAAAGACTCAGCACAAACACAAGCACACAACACACACAAACACAGAGCTCACAGTGGGACAGATGCAAAGTAAACAGTGGCAATAGTCAATAATAATTTGCATTTAATAAATATTTCATTGACTAATTGCATCAATTACAAGCATTTTACGTTATGCCATCAAATTAGTGCTGTGGAGCCGCTGAGCCATAGATTACAACTTGAATTGGATCATTGTACGGGTGCCCAATAGTTTTAGCCGTTATTGATCATTGCACGTTTCTTGTCTAACAATAAGATATCGCTAATTGCCCCAGCGGCTGCTTATGAATATGCATCAGCAGCTTAACCAGCGGCACCAGCAACGGTAGCTATCTATACAACGAACAAGAAAAAAAGCCCCGTCAAGCCAAAGCGGAAATCCTCCTCGGGCGCACAGGTGACAACTTTTGTTGAGTTCGCTGGGCGAGCGGGCGGGGGTTGCGTCGGAGTCGGGCCAGTTCGCGGTCCGCTGTTAAAGGTTCTGTTTGTCTTGTGTTTCTTTCAAAAAGTGAGCCGTCTTGTGAATGAAATACATTTTGTTGCGAGCACGTTTTTTTTCCCTTTTTTTTTTGTTGCCGACATCGCAGCAAAGCGACAGCGACGTGTCGCCATTTTGAATTTCTTGCTCAGCAGTGGGCGGCGTCAGCGGCCGAGTGAGAGAGCGCAGGCGCTCTCACAATGCAGGCATGGATTCGTTTGTGTGTGTGTGTGTGTGTGAGTGATGTTTGTGAATGCCGTTGTGCAGTGGGCGTGCTAGCGCCGTGCAAATGTATTGGTGAGCATGCTATGTGTTATGTGTGAGTGTATTGTGCATTTGTATTTTGTACCTGTGCAGTTGAGCGACGTCAAGTTGCTGGCCAGTTTGACTGGTTTATTGCTTTTGTTGTTGCTGTTGCTGCCTGTCAAGTTGCTAAGTTTGGGCAAGTAGATGGCGCTAGCTGTCTTGAAGTGGCTTTAATTTTAAAGTAATGTCCTGAGACTTAAGCCATTGAATTTTATATGTTGTTTGTTCCAGCTGATAAATATATAGTTTCGATATGCGTACAAATGGAATAACCATTTTAAATTCCCAGTTGTATCGATTGGAATCGTCGATATTTACTAACTTAGTAAATGCACAATTTATTAGCGCGGTCGCTTTCAAATGCAACTGTTGGTTGCGTGCCACACAAAATGAAATTACAGGTTCAACAATCAATTTAATAATTGAGACCTTTGCATTTAATCAACATTATTTAAAATGTCAAAATATTTGCACTTTCAATGGCAGCACGCGTCGCCGTCGCCGTTGTCGTCGTCGTTGTCCAAAAACCGTAAAACCCAAAGAATGCCTGCTCAAAAAAAAAAAGACAAAAAAAAACCAAAAAGAAACAAAAAACAAATTTGCATACAAATAAATGTTGATAATGTTGTAAGTCCCCCAAAGAGGGCAGCAAAGCTGCTGCTGTTGCTGCTGCTGCTGCTGGCCACGCCTCAAGTGGGTGGCTGGAGGGGGGCGCCACAAAACTAGACGACTGCCAACTACAAACGATAAAAAAAACAATAAACACAAGGAAAAACAAAAACACAACCGCATAGGCTATGGGCGCCCCCCACCTGCGTCGTCTCTTCATTGATGAAATTTATGGTATTGGTGCGGTTTCAACACCAACCGCTGCCGCGACAACTCACACAGACGCACACACCGACGCTGTGCGGCGGCAGCGACGCGACGTCAAACCGGTTCCCAGCCCTGCCATTGGTTTTGGGCTGTGAGCACAATCGGGCCGCTAGTGGCATCTCGCTCGCACACAGCACAGTTAGAGCGCAGCTGTTGCGCTCGCACGCGACAGCGACAGCGCCGCAAAGCGACAGGCTGTGCGCGGAGTGCCAACAACGACTGCGGACCGGGGCAGCGCGCAATCGCAGCGCTGAGCTCGTACCTAGTCGTATACGCACTTTGTTCGTGGTTGGTCGTTGTTGCTGTCGCTCGTCGCAGCGCCGTTCGCCGGGTTCGTCTCGAGTCTCGATTTACGATTTACGATTCTGCCGTTTCTCAGCGATTCTCTTCGATTCTGATTTCGCGCTGCTCGTCGCTCGCTCGCTCGCTCGTTTTGCGCGTTTTGCTTGCCGTCGCGCAAACTGCACAAATTGCACATCGGATTGTTGCTTTGTGGATTGCTATTTGTGGATTGCTTGTTCAGTGTCTCTTGTCTTGGAGTGTGTGCATTTTTTCCATCTGAATGCCAATTAAATGCGCCACCACACAACAAAAAGCATTCAAATACAAATTGTTACAAGTGGTGTCATCAACATCAACAGCATCAACAACAGCAACATCAATAATAACAACAACAGCAACAACAACAACAACCGCAACAACAGTAACAACTGCAACAGCATCATCAATATCCAGCATCATTATTAAAGGCTGACCCAATTGCGAGTGCAACAGTTTCGAGTGTAAACCAACAAATAAATAAAGATAAATAAATTGAAAAGTTTGAGTGTTCGACACAAGTGCAGCTAAGGATTTACGCGATCGTCTTCAAGTATTAACAAAAATAACAATCAATACTCTACAAACTTTTTTTCAATGTGCAATTAAAACTGAATTACACTCACACCACATATCACACCCACCTACACACACTTACACACGCACACACACATACAGACAGCTGCCGTTGTTGTCATTGGTTTTGAAATTTTTCTGCACGCGCGTTTCCAAGAAAAGCCGCCAAAATTCTTGATAAAGTGGCCTCAATAGGCGCCAACACGCTCAATTTTACGGATCTAGGGAGCCCCTACGAGGGGCCTCCCAGCACCCCACAATCGGGCATGGATGCGCCGGACGCACCACATACGCCCAAATATATGGACGGTGGCAGCACCTCAGCCGCCAGCATCACGCCCGGCGTTCAAATACCGGGCAAGTCCGCCTTTGTGGAGCTGCAGCAACATGCCGCCGCCGGGTGAGTCTTCAATGCAATGCATGCATGCCGCCACATGCAATATGCCACAAGCGTTTAGTTCGCCATACAAAGTTTGAGTTCATTGTTTGCTTATCAGCGCCACAGAATCAACCAACAAAAATGTCAAAAGTGCTCGCATGAAGGACACACGCTCTAACACAACTCACGATCTGAATGACTGACTGACTGTCTAACGACCTGAGTGACTGACAAACGGACTGACTTACTGACTGACTGACAACTGCCTGCCCCTTCAGGCAAAGCTCAGATTCAGTTTCAGTTTCAGTTGCGACTCGGTTGCAGTTTCGATTTACTTTTGTTATCAGGCCCGCGCCATCAACTCTAAATACGACACACCCAAAAAATTGACTTTAGGGCGTAGCCGGCTCTTTAAGATACTTTAATTTGGCTCAGTTAATTGTAATATTTCCTTTTCTTATCCAAGCTTAATATGCAAAATTCAAATATTGTCATATTATATATGAAGAAAATGACTTCACAAGAAGTTCTAACTGAAAAATGGTAGTTATTTAAAGTACATAAGTTATAGTTCGAGTTAGAAACCTTCATATAGGATACATAAATATAAAAATGATTCATTTAAAATATTTTTTGATTATTAAACAAATACCAAAATAGGTTTGAAAAATCAGAATACACATAAATAGAATAAATAATGTGATACAATTATTTAGAAAAATGATTTGGCCGATTTTGTTTCCAATGATAAACATATTTATTAAATAATTATAAAAAAAACTAGATCGCTTAAAATGCTGCTGAAATACTTATAAAAAAAAGATATATGAGAAACAAAATCCCAGCACTTGGACTAAAAAACTTACCTTTTAGAATCAAATGTTAATGTTATATTTTTAAAGTAAAATTGGTTTTTCTATAGGCTATATCAATAGGCTTGATCAAAAAGTGAATAAAGTTCAGTTAAATCTTTTCTATATTTTATTTTATTTACTTGAAAAAAAAAATATTTTGAAGTGATTTGAAGATTAAATCTTATTCTGTTGTTGTCATGTTCTCTAAAAATAAATTTTTTTATTTAGAGTTTAGAGTTTATTTCCTTGCTTCTTTTATTTTTTCTTGCAATCCAGAAATTTGATAGATAAAATAAATTAGCAGTCAATTGGAAGTAAAAGCTGTGATTATTTTTTTCTACCCTGTTTTCGGGCTTTATTCTTTCATTGATATATACTATCATTACTATATTCACTTCAGCCACGAATTAGTTTACATATTTAAACTTGTCAGATGCAGTTGAAAAATTGAACAATATATAAAATGTTCCTAGAAACCAAGTCAATTAAATGCAGCTGTCATAATATTTACTATAATCAGACCTAAAATCGCTGTGATAGCTGTAAAGCTGACCTCTGGCTATATGGTAAACATACGAAATTTCCATTATCTGATTGCCAGCGAACATATTTATTCACATGTGATCAGTTTTTATCATGTTTTGAAAACATCTATCTGAATATTTAAGTACATATATACTCGGTCTTGTAAATAATTCCTTTTTTTAAAAGCTCCCCTGGTTTTTGTTGTTTTTTTTTCTTCTTGATTTAAGAAGTCACTTTATGTAGTTATTGGATTCTCGCATATTTATGTATATATCAGGGCAACTTTTCCGGGTTTGGCTTATGCTGGTTTTCTGTTCTCGCTTTAGCTTTGGCTCCCTGCTTGCTTGAAAAGCCAGCGGCAATGAACGGAAGCCAAAAATAAATTCAATTAAGTGCAGTTTAGACTGCACAGTATATAATATGAGTGTAAGTACTCGCATATATATGCTTTGCAGGGGTGCGTTAAAATTCTTAGGGTACTGTAAATATTATTTATGTTATTTGTGGTGCAGTTTCTCTCCCTCTCTCTCTGTCTCTGTCTCTTGCACTATGTGTATGTTTTTGCAACGCACGATTCGATTTTTCATTATACATATTTCATTGTATTTTGTGTTTTGCGGTTTGGCATTTTGTCATTTTTGTAGTGGTGCGTGTGTGCAACTCCAAAGTGGTTCGTTCGTTGGTTAGTTAGCTGCTTGCCATATTGCGGAGTTGAGTTGCGGTTTTCTCTTTGCTGTTGCAGTTGCCAGTTGCCAGTTGTTGCCAGTTGTCAGTTGCGGCGTTTCGTGTGTTGTTTCCGTTTCCGTGTTGCCTTTTGGCCCCGCTGCATTAAATATTTCATGCCGTTTTATTGGGCAATCTGTTTGGAAATGTTCAAATGAAAGCACGGCCCAACGAAAATGTTAGACTTCTGTCGCATTCTCAATACTCGGCGACCCCTGGGAAACTGTTCAACTGTTTGAGTCCTTTTCTACTCGCTAGTAAGTAGTCTTGGTTGTGCCCAAAAAAGTGTTAACAAAATATTTACTACCTGTTTGGGTAGCCACACTCCCGGTAGTACAACATTTATATTGATTTTTTCTCCATATAAAGTTCAGGGCTTTAACAAAATAAAGTTAGCAAAACTTTGTTTTTTTCCCAGCTTTTACATTTGTTGTGAGAAAAAAAGTTTCGTTTCGACGCTTTCTGCATTAAACATGATATTTCAGTTGAACTGAGGTTTTATTTTGGGGCTCTGGAATTTAATGGACGTTGTACAGCACTGAAAAGTGTAGACAAAACACGCAAACTTTGCTTGACTCACTTTTATTTTGTTGTTCTCTGTTGTTCGATTTAGGTTTTCAGTCATTTGTTGTTCTTTGACCTAAACTGGCGTGCCAAAAGGCCAACAATGAATATTATATGAGACATAAGCTACAAGAATATACAAATTAAAACTTTAAATATCACGGCTTCTACGATATCCTTAATTAAAATTGCACTATTCTGATTTGATATTTTGATTTGTCATTGCAGTTACGGCGGCATACGCAGCACCTACCAGCATTTTGGTCCACAGGGCGGTCAGGATTCGGGTTTTCCGAGTCCACGCAGCGCCCTCGGCTATCCGTTCCCGCCCATGCATCAGAATTCCTACTCTGGCTATCATTTAGGCAGCTACGCGCCGCCCTGCGCAAGTCCGCCCAAGGATGGTAAGTACTAAATTTCATTGAATTCAATAAGAAAAAAATATATATACAAAAACTTGTCGCCAACCCCCTTACAGTTGTCTGTCTGTACACATCATTTAAAGTTCATCTGGTATTGTTGCCTGCCCTCTCTTGTCTGAAGATCTCTTGAGCATCTCTTTATGCATAGCCTTTGGCCTCAGCTCAAGATCCCAAGATCTCAAGCTCAAGCTCTTTAAATTCGCACTTTTTGGCGACACTTGAACTCGAGTGGGCAACGCTCGTTCGAGCGCTTTTGTTGTCGTGTCAAAAGACTTGACTTTGACAGTTTCAGAAACCAACTCTATTTTATTTATTTGCACATTTAAATTGAATATCAATTAATACACCTTGCAGGGTATTTGACGCTGGCTTCTAAAACTAGTTTAGATTTTTATTTACTTTTATTATTAATTCATATTTATTTTAATATACTCTAAGCAAACGCTTGACATTTTATAATTTATTGTATAGTATAGTATATTTTATTACTTAATTAACATTAGCTAATAGAGTAGGCAAGTAAGTTTTTTAATTTAAACTGTTTCTTGGCTTATATAAAACTGTTTTACTTGACAGAAGTGGTTAAATTTAATTTCATAGACAATTAGCTTTTAGTGCTTAGTACGTGTTCACTTGCTTTATTTTTATAGAGCACGAATAGTCTTTCTAAATATCAATAAATCAAAAATGTATGTGAATAGATTTATAAATAATTTGTTTTACACAATTCTTGTGCCTTTAGACACATGTAGTTCCATTAGATAAATGCACATATATTCTTTTTATTTCGATAATAAATGCCTAGCATTATTGCGCGCTTGACTGTGACATTTTGTTAACCATCGCATTTTGTTAAACAATTTTGTTGCTTTTTTCGTTGCTGCTGTTGGATTTTTTATTATTATTTTTTTTTTATGCGTTTTGGTTGAGCAGTTTTGTACGTAAGTGAAAAGCAATTCATTTTGCCAGCTATTGTTGCCGACAACTCAGACAAAAAGCAATATATACAAATATAGTATATATCTATATGATGTGCGATGAGAAACGCAGTTTGACTTTTTGGCACACATTTATCACACATACGACGCATCGGCTGAGCGGGCGGCCAATTAACCTTGACTTGACTCTCAGCACTTGAAAATTGTTATTGAGCAGCTGTTTATACGAAAGCCGAGACAGCTGATCGTTGGCCAAGTTAAGTAATTGCGCGCCAAAAAGACTGGAAGACTCCTATATAAAAATGCTAAATGTATGGCCAATAATAAATGGCCTACTGCCACATACACACATACATACACATACACATGTATATATACAGTAATCATAATTGCTGTAATTACGTTTTCGTTTGGCGTAATTAATTACACCATTCTTTGGTGAAGTCGCTACCGCAAGAGACATGTGCAGTGGCAGCGATCCAATGGCTGCTCTCTCACACACACACACACTCGGACACACACACACACTCGCACACACACACTCGCACACACTCACACACACACACACATATACGCACGCATTAGGGACCTGGTGTCAGTCTGACTAATGGCCCATATGGCATGCCGGCTTTGGGTGGTCACTGAAAATATAAAATCATCTCGCCATCTCGCTCGCACGTAGCCATTTTGTCATTAAAGCCGCAGCACGTGCTGCAAGGCGCCAATATTTTCGACACACACACACACACACATACACATGCACTTGGACAGGTAACAGCAACGACTATACTACAACTATATATGGGCGCTTAATACTAGTTGCTGGATTCGCGATATTTATTTGAACAATTAGCGACGCGTCGCAACGTCATGAGTTGCAGTTACCGCTTGCCGCTTGCCCCTGCTCACTGAACTTGTGCACAAAAGCTATGCGTTGTGCGAGTGCTTTGAACTTTTGCTTTTGTTTATATGGCCGTAATTGTTAATTAAACTTAATTACGACTCAACTTACAAGTTACTTAGCGTTCGATTTGGCGATCCCAAAATGAGAGTCGTCAACTCGTCGACTCTTTTGCTCTTTAGCGCTGATGTGGTTTGCAGTTGGGCAGCTGTTATACATTCCAAAGTCAGGGCGCACTACTCATAAATATGCATAGGTTGCAGTTGGAAGTTATGCCAGTTCCAGTTCCAGACTGGGTAAATTGTTGCCATAATTCTTATGTATAGTTATGAATTCATCATATGCCGCATTTGGCTGTAAATGCTTTTGCCTGCTTCTGTGGCTCTCTACCATTTGGTATTTTCTTAGTTTTTTTTTACTTTATTTATTCTTCTAAATGGCTTCGTTTGTCTCTCGCAGACTTTTCAATCTCCGACAAATGCGAGGACTCCGGCCTACGCGTCAATGGCAAGGGCAAGAAAATGCGCAAGCCACGCACCATTTACAGTTCACTGCAGCTCCAGCAACTGAATCGACGTTTCCAACGCACCCAATATCTGGCTCTGCCCGAACGTGCTGAGCTTGCAGCGAGTTTGGGCCTAACGCAAACGCAGGTGAGTTCTATACATATATATCTAGAATATATAAAAAATCCTTTTATATACGAATTTTAGTATTATAAATACAAATACAAACATAATATATAGGGATATAAAATAAATACATAAAGTTTTTAGTATTTGTTGCATTATCTTAGTGTGAGCAAAAAAAAATCCATGATTAGCAATGAAGTTGGTAATTAAAAATAAGTTGATTATCAAACGACAGCTTATTTTATCCCACGTTTATGTATTTATATAAGGATGATTGTTAAAATAATTTGCATAGTATTTTACTTTATTGTGGTACTTATATTAGCCATATCAGACTTCCCAGTTAGTTTACTAACAAAGCCAAAATAGGTTGTGCAAAAATAGGTTTAAGCCATATAAAGTCAATTTACAAGTCGTTTTTTAACAGTCCTGTTGATAGTTGTTTAAAGCTATTATTTATAGGTTAGACATAAGATCTGCATAAGCTGATATATAGCTATGTATTTAGATAAAAAGCCAAAATATTTGTATAACGTACGTTTTTAAAATCTTAATATATAAGTATATATGTGTTGATAAAATAATATAGTAAATAATGCAAATATTTTTCATTACGTTATTTGGAAAATGCTTTGGCTTAAGCGAGTAGGATATCTCGGAATGGAGTCCACACAAGCTCTCAATCAGCTTTATATCTTCTATCAAACTGTTTATTTTACTAAGGGGTTTGCCCATATTTATCTATTGAAATCGTTACAGCTCCTATTTTATAAGGATATTAATATGTTTTGCAAGCTCTTAACTTAAAAGCTAGCCATGTCTGAAAGTTGAGTGTTGTAAATAGCAAGTTTCATTAGGTATGCAGGCATTTGTTATATGCATCAACTGACTCAATTCCCTGGCGATAGAGTCCTGCCCCTGGCAAAAACATTAAGCAGCAGTAAATGCATTCCAAATTGAATTGTTGACATGCCTCTAATGTTGACTGACAAACGAGGCAAGGCAGCAACCAAGCCGCAGCAAGGCAACAATAACAAGCTAGACGCAAACTACCGCCCACGCCTGTGACCCTCTCTGGCGTTCACACACACATACATACAAATATTCACACACACACACATGTACACATAGATAGCAGACGGGTACTAACGACTGCGTTTAATAACGTAATGTGTGCGCTCTTCTCGTTGCTGTTGTTGCTGCTGCTGTTGTTCTTGTTGTTGCTGTTGCTTTTTCACTCATTTTGCACGTGTGTCAATGTCAACTTTTGTATGACGACTCAGCAACAGCAATAGCAACAAGAACAACAACGAGTATCTTTTAAATGCACGCGCTACTGCCCACGGAAAGAGAGAAAGACACAAAAAAAAAAAAAAAAAATAAAAGAAAGAAAAATAAATAAATAAAAAAAATATAATTGTTATGAAAAGGCAAAAACAAGGCCTGCCATTGTGGCTGCTTGGCGACACCCACCCAGTTTTCAGTTCAAGTTCCCGTCCACGTCAAACTGTCTGAATGGCGCATTGTTTTTGTACAATAGTTTTTCCACATGAAAAGCAAAAGCAACAAAAAACAAACTGCAAAAACTATTGCATAAAAAAAATAGAGAAAAAAATAAATAAAAAGTAGATGTGAATGAGTCTCGTTTTTGAGAAATTTATTGATAGTGGGCGTGGGCTTCCTAATTGAATTAGTGTGCCACAAAAGTTCACGCACACACTCACACACACACACATACCGAGCACAACTGAGGCATATTGTAAGTCAGCTAAAATGAAACTTGTAAAACAAGTTGAAGACCCTGCTGCTGCGGTTTTGTATATATATATATATATATATGTGTGTGTATTGCTGCGTGGGTGTTGCTCGGCCGCAAGTTGTTTATCAAGATAGTTATTTGAATACGGCTGCGTTGCTGCCAAGCCACAGACACAACTCTCGAGCGTCGAGTCCCAAGTCTGAGGCGGGGCGTGCCACACGGCGGCTGTGCAATAAATTTGTACCCAGGCCAAAAGCAGTTTACTTAGTCACCCCATAAACGCTGATTTACATTGGGGGCAAAGCCACATAAGCCAGGCTCAGTTCCTCGTGCCAAGTCCTCGACTCCAAGCGTCCGCAATATGTGGCAGCCAAACCTGGCAGCTGTCAATCGATGTCAGCATTGTCAGCGAATGCAGTTTTGGGCGCTAGCCGAAAACAGCAAAAGCAACAGCAACAACGGCTAGCTAAACAAACAGCCACGCCCACTGAACTGCAGCAGGCAGGCGACACAATCAATTTGCTTTATCTGCTGACCCTGCGGCATTAAAAAAAAGGGGGTTAAACGCAAATTTAATTTATGACTGAGCCAAAGGGTGTTGCCCCAAACTAACTGTTTCTCCAAGCTGATCAAGTCACTCGGACCAACTAGTACTTGCTAAGTTCCCTAGTCCCGTCTGGCTGTCCTGGGCGCCCCGGGATAACTTTCGATTTCGTCCACGCGCGTGTTAATTAAAACCGCCCTCGCATTTCAGTTCGGCACCCGCAACGGAAGTTTTTTATTGATTTGCCAGCGCGCGAGCTATAGTTATAGCTACAACTTGCAACTGTAGTTGTTGTTGTTGTTGTTGCTGCGGAGCCAAGTGCTGGCCAAGTGCCCAAGCCACGCCAATGTTTGACCCGTGCAAACAAACTATTGTGCTTTGGCTCAAGATTTATGCGTTACACAAACAACTGCATTGGCCACCAACTGCCATGGCTTAATGGCCTTCATCGGGACGCAGGTCAACTTTGCCAAGTCAAAACATTAAGTTTATTTTGTTGCTTTGCTGTTTAGCTAAATACTTGCGCTGGGCTTTATAAGTTTCCCAGGGAATATGTAACTATAGAGGGAATTCCCAGGGAATATGTAACGATACTCTACATAAATAGTTAAATTTCTAAGAAAATCAAATATAATAATTCTGTATTCAACAAATAAAACAAAATGGAATTTTGAAGTTTAAGGTTTTCCAGCAAATTAATTATATTCTCTATTCTTTTTTCCCCCTTGCAAAATTAAAACCTTTGTTAAAAAAAATCCAGTGGAAAGCCCAACTAGCTGTGGGTGTTTCCCTCCTGTAGCTTTAGCTTGTTACCATAACTTCAAGTAAATCTGAGTTAGTCTCACAGCAGTTATATGCATTTCATGAATATGCATGTAAGAGTATTTAATTTTCGTCATAAGTTTTGTGTGTTTGCTTGCGTTTTTTGGGGCGTTATTGTACAATTTGTTGTTCCTAAAGTTTTGCATGTTGAATACTCGTATTCGCATTCGCATTTTTAAAATGCAGCCAGGCAACGTTTAGCTCTCAGCTCTCAGCTCTCAGGCCTCAACTCCCAGCTGACACTGACAGATTGTTGTTTGGCATAGCCTCAATCTAGCGACATGTTCTAACACCTGCTAATGAAAATGCAGCAGCAATATCTATAACTATGGATATGGTTATAGAAACTGTACGATAATATACTTTGCTCAAAACTATGGCACATTATACTCGATTTTTTTTCTTCACTGTATCGCTTTTTTATAGTCGCTGGTTTTGTTTTATCTTTTGTGGTGCTGCCTGCAAAATATAATTATGGTAATTTCATTATTATTATTTTTTGCGTCTTCTGCTGTTGCTGGTGCAAAATATATTTAAAAAAAAATAAACTTGTTTCTGTTGCCGGTCGTCAGCAGCTAGCCCGGTTTCGCACCGCCTGCCCGTCCACCTTTTGAGTTGCATCTTTCACTTGGCTTTAAGTACGCGCACTTGTAGTTTGATTTTGAAAGTGCATCCGGTGGCTGCTGGGCGCCAGATCAATTTATATATATACATATACATATTTGTATACGTTTATGTATATAAACACATATACTAACAAGTAGTCATGCATTTGTGTGTGATCTCTTTAAGTTTCGATTAAAGCTAAATGCTGGCTACTGTTTTCATATGTTGCCTTTACTGGTTATTGGCTTACACAGCTACTGCTTAATTGAATAATTACATAGAACGTTGGCAGCTGATCGCCAATGCTTCAATATCAAGCAACTCACCAAAAAACATAAAAATCTCAAGCCCAAAACTTCAACTCAAAGCTGACAGCGCGAGACAAACGCAAACACTAAGAAAAATATTTCGAAATTCGAAAAAAGAAAAAACGCCAAATTTTAAACTACGCTGCAGTCCGTGCGAACCGCTCAGCGAGCTGATCGGAAAGCGAAAAAGAACCTTTTAAACTGCGTGTTTATGAGCTCATATCGGCACATTTTGATCTGGTTGTGGTTACTCCAACAACAACCACAAAAGGCCGGGCAGAAAAGGGCGCAACGGCTGAAAAATTGTAGGAGGCCACGTTGACTCGAAAACAAAGGATTTGAGGATTTTGGCAGCAACATCAAGTTTATGTTTAGCAGATGAACTGCCAAAACGGCGCTTGTGGAAGCTCTGCAGAACGCAAGACTCTATACAAAATGTTCGTGCTCTAAACAGGTAAAGACTGACAGGCAACTCAAAATAATATAAAAGAGTAACTATTGCTGAATCCCATTCACAGTGAATAATAGTGCAAAAAATGACATGTTGTAGTTATCAGACATAATTTCAAATACAAACACAATGATGTTAAGTGAGAATGCTTTCGAGGGATCGATTAATGAAGCTTGAATGTCCTATATATTCTCAATACGAGATGAATTCTCAGGCAACAAGTGTCTGCATGATTGGAAAAGGGAAAAAGACAATAAATTGTATTCTTTATAAATTCATAGTCCACAAAAGTTGCCAATTAAATATAGATATATTTATATGAATCAAATTTTTGTTCAAATTTAGTTTAAGAACTTAGTTTAAGAACTAATATCCATTAGTTATCTCTTATCAGTGAGTATGTTGTACTAACATTTTGCAACTGACTTGCTCGGCTGCTCTGGCCTGTCTGTAAAAATCAACATCGCCTGCTTTATGTGCGCGTGTGTGTGTGTGTGTGTGTGTATGCATGAGTGTGTGTCCCTGTGTGTG